TCAGAGGAGGTTGGACAGCTAATTAGCGAGTTGTCACGTGAGCTCTCGACCAATGAGATCGCTCTATTTTCCATCGTGTTGGCGAAGATTTTTGGCCGCCAAATTTGCATTGGACACAGAAGAACTCAAAAAATATATATAAATATTCAAATTTTGCTATCAAAATGCAACCATGGCCTTAGTATTATAAAAGGACTGGCGATATGTGCAAGAATTTCTGAGGTAAACGTTATTTTTTAACCTGTTTTCGATGATCAAAGTTGGTCATGCCGTGGCAACGTGATGACTCAAGTCCGAGTCTGTTTACAATTTTCAAACTAAAAAATCTGGAATTCCCATGGTTCGATTTTCGTAATTTTTGTAAAAAAGTCAAGACAAATGTCTAAACTAAAAATCTGCTGGAGGGATCCCCGGGATCCCCCGGCAGTTATCGAGATATTTGGCATTGAAGTGACCATACTCAATTCAACCTTTGCCAAAATGGCGTCTAATATCTGGGGAAGATGTTGCGCCACCAAAGCTTGGTTTTCACATTGAATTTTGAAAGTCCCCCAATATTAGGATCATTTTTCTTTACAGTAAGTGTTAAATTACTTTTGAAAGACTATTTAGAAGACTTAGGAGTTATTTGCCTGTTTTTACAGATTTTATATCTGGGCTGGTATTACTAGCCTGCATGCCCATCTCCTCGACATGCATGTCTATCTCCTTGGCAAGTGAAATTGTCTGGTGGTAGAGACGATTTTAAAAGAACAGCACATTATAAAGTGATCAGATTTTCTCACAGTGAAAAATTCTATGTTCCTTTTTAATTACAGCAGTTCAGATGTCGATATAGAATTGAAAAAGGGCTTCTTCCTGAACATCCAAGGGCAGGGCCAACTGATGATGTTGAAGAATGAAGACATTTTAGCATGGATTACTAGTATAGATTATAGTATCTCTTGTCCTTTATGATGTCTTTCTGAAAGTTATTGGTGAATACAAATTGAGCTGTGATCCCTCAACGTGGCCAACAACATGCTCCACCAAATACCTGAGCACAATATAGAAAGTGCACATACATGCAGGGATGGATTTACTGGGGGGGGGGGTGTGCACCCCCTAGCCCTGGCCAGAGGGGGTGCAGGAGGGTGCTATTTTTTATGATAAAGCAAAAAAGACAAAATGAGATACAATAATTTGAGTAATAACATGATGATAAGTGAACTGTGAACAACAATTACAATTCAAATACAGCAGTTGATGGGTGGGCGGCACACATGACCGACACAATTCGGCAGTTGGCACCAGAGCACCCCCCTACCAGATCATGCTGGATCCATCCCTGCATACATGTACTGTATCATATTTAATTAATGCTTGAGCATATTTGTTCAAATTTATTGACATTAATAAATAATTAAATTATGTTTGTTATAGTAGTGTAGATTTTGCACCAGCCACGCTTGAAATTAGACGTCAGCCACTTTTTAACTAGATGGCCATGGATGACCTTTAAAGAAATTGTTTTCTTTATTAAACAGCAACTTGCAAGCTTTGTGATATTTCTTGAATACCTCAAAAGTTGTCAGCTGCTGTTTACATTATCTACTTCATATGTTTCGATAATTCTTGTTGAAAAGATGCTGAATTGTCAGCATGTGACAATTCATTTCAAGCACCATGTAAGTTGCCACACATCACCCACAGTATTTTTTGGACAAGCCAGTTTTAACACCCTGGCTGGTACATTTATTGTATATACCTGTAGTATAATTCACCATGTTTGGTTTTTTAGTATGCATGAACACTAGTATTAAGTTAAAGGAGGAAGCATTTATAATGGCATGCAGGTACATTATTTGATACTTCTGAAGACCATCCAGAGTCAACAGGTGTATACATATAGAAACAAGTAAATAGAGACCCATATTTTGACTAGAAATAAAAACCATTTAAATTCAATTCAGCCCGATTTTCACAGAACCAACTTTAAAACGAACTGCAGTCAAACTTTACAACATACATTCCGAACTTACAAATAAACATTGGTGGTCAGATTTCAAAGACAAATTGAAATTGACAGTAAGATGTAATTTTATTGTTGGGGATGGGTTGGTGCTTTAGGCTCAATTCCTGCAGAAGGGTTACATAAAGTCACAGCAATTTCAAAATTAATTACATGGCTTGACAAAATAAATTCTATTCAGTCACGAAATAGGTAGATGCATTTATTTATAGCACATGTTTTTTTACGTTTAGATATAGGTAATGAGAACCATATTGGTGTCCTAGTAATAAATTTATGCCACAATAAAAAAGCAATATTGCTATTTTGAGGGAGTTGCACAAGTGCACATGACAGATATTGTTTTCTTATAGATACACACCTACTTAAATTAAATGATTTTTGTTTGGCAATAAAGTGAAAGGTAAAAATGCTGAAAAAATCTAAAAAGTTAGCCAATTTAAATAACATCATTTCTATAACTTGCTAAACCTAGTCAGTTACTATTATATCACAAACATCTGTCGACATACACTCATGCCCCTCCTTACCACTTGAGTCTCCCACTCACCACATCGCTTTATGAAAATTTTTGAATAAAATCCTATTTTAAAAAAGTCAACCCTATACTTTATATGCTGAACATAGACCTCTAAGATATCTCATGCAGCAATTAGTGGGTGCAAATAATATAGCCAACATCACATGTGTCCATCCAGTTCCATAGTTTACATTAATTGCTATTGCATTTGGGTCCATTGGATTCAATGGCTCAATTGGCCGTATTCTTACATTCACTGGTTTATCTTGTCCATGAATAGCAAGGCATGCCTGTTACAAATGATCTTGGTAATGTTTCTCATGAGCAGCACCAATGCACTTGAATGGCACAGCATGGGTGATTTCGTCCTCGTCACTTTCATCCTGATCACTTAACTGGTCACCACTTTCTGCCCTATCACCTTCATTACCATATCCATCCTGACCAGGTTCAAGACCAGCTAACCACTGAACCACTCAAGTAGATCTCTTTCTACAAAATCATAACAAGAAAAATTTTTATTTTATTATTTTATACATACACTGTAATCTCTAAAATTAGCAATCTAATGCAAAAGTGTGTCACTATTTACAGTAATATTAGAACAACACACAAATATTATTTTACAGATGAAAATTGAAAAATATAACTATACTGTATGCACATATATGTAAAAATCTATCCATACAAACAGGCATCATACTTCAGCAAAAATTTATTAAACAATTCGTTTAACTCAAAACATGTACATATGTATCACAGTGACACAGTACATATACACACACAATAGGGTCAAACTAGAGGCATTGTAAACACAAGTATGACGCCATAATTTTGTACAGTGTATTTATATTAAAAGTACAAGAATAAAAACAACAAAGCGGAAATTTGACTATAAAATAACACGATAACTGTAATACATTGTAGTATACCAACCTTAAATACTGCGCTTGTTTTCACGTTGATGATACACGGAGATTTAACGCCATCCAACTTAGAAAGAAGCTAAAATGACAGCACGTCCCATGCAATTTAAAAAAAGGTAAACTTGATAGACTAAAACACAAGTCATAAATATGATGATCGCAACAATAAAGCAATAACATGCTGTTTTCACAAAATATCACAGCCTGACACTCTTGTCGTTCGAAAGCTTCCATATTGGTTTTGTAGTCAGAGATGTTCACTCCTTGACAGTCAACAGTCAATGAAAGCCACGCGTGGAATTAGGTGCTCAATACCCATGGTGCTTTGCGGCCTGCTGTCCAACCTCCTCTGCCAATTAAAATTATTTCCGGTTGTAGCATGTTTCCGGTTATCCGCTACAGGTATGTAAATACGCAAATTTCGTTATTTGCAGTTTTGTATAAATTTGAATAAATACGGAGAAAAATCGGTATGTTTTTGTCGAAATATCCACATGATGGAATTCTAAGCGTAAACTATGCCTCATTCGCGGAACCATAGCTCGATGGCTTTTTCCAGGAGTCTAAAGAGACAACATTCGGCGCTCTGAATAGGATTTCTTCTTCCTCGGTCCTCGTGTCATGTTAATAGTTTATTCGAGACAGCAGCTATTCGCTTCAACTGCGTCTGACACAGCGGCTATTGTCTTCAATTTCTGCCTGATGTTGGCATATTAGTTCGAGCGAGCTGACTACTATATCCTTGCAGGTCTTGGAAAACAGCTCGGCAATAAATTGATAAATAAGGCTTCAGCTTTTTGGAACTAAATATTTGAAAATTTCCGACACCACATATTTTCGTTCTACGGCGACTATTACGGCGAGATATTTAGACACGCTTTCTACTATGACTATGTAGTTTTAGTTTTATACCGAGTAAAATGTTGCTGCAAAAGCGTTTTCAACGTCTTTTCGTACTTATTTTGTCATTTTTGGGCTTAATTAATTGAAAATAAATTTCAGAAATAAAGCACTTTTAACAGTATATTGACAAAATTACAAATTCTATTTTTGGTGTTTACATACGCCGGTCATATATTTCCGGTTTGAATCACATGATGCGTTTTATCGTCTCTTAGCCAATCAGCATAACATCCAGATTCTGGATGTTGAACATGGATTTAGAGGCGAATTGTGTCAGGCCCTCTTTCAATACCGAGGGCCTGATACTCAGGTTACCTAGACCTAGGCCTTCTAGTCTTATTTATATTTTTTTAATAATCAGCGCTTTTTCACATGAAAAGACTGGGACTAGGTGATTTGGGGGCGGGGCGGAGTGTCCTTCCTCGGCGGAGTGTCCTTCCTCCGCCCCGTCCCCAAATCACCTAGTCCCAGTCTTTTCATGTGAAAAAGCGCTGAATATTAAAAAAATATAAATAAAAATAGAAGGCCTAGGTCTAGGTAGACTTGCTCCAAGTCTCTCTTTGTGGACATCTATATATTGTACATCTATATTGTACGTTACATGACGTACCGCTGAGGGGGAGAGGAGGAAAGAGAAGAGAGACTTGTAACATCTGGCAAGCAGACATACTTCCGGCTGGTCAATTTCGACCAGCCGGAAGTAGATGGCCGCATTGACTTATCACGTGTTTAGGGGGGGAAGGCGACATCTGGACTTTCAGAGTTATTTGTTTAACATAAGTAATTTTGTATTCACGAGATTTCTTGTAGATTTCACATCACTTTTGACTGCGTGCATTTGGAATTTGGGCATTATTTTTGCAATTTATTGTAAACAACGATTATAAGAAGAACGGATAAATTACAAATCAGCCGTAATCGTCATAAACCTCGATGACCACCAGTGTTTTTGTGTTTGACAATTTGTATTTCATTAGATATTTATATGCAAGGTCAGTATAAACGGGTTATCATATAAAATGATCATTCTAATGAATGAATTGATAAAACGAATTATTTCTAATATGTACGGCCGCGTTTTTTACACGGCCACTACTGAAACGTTTAGCTTGATTGTTGAATAAATCGATGACTTGCTTAGTTGCTTTCTGTTTTGAGCTTAACCACCGTTTAAGCTAAACGGGCTTGATACAACTGGCCCCAGACTCGGCCCCAGATAAACATTTTTGTATTATCGAGATCGAAACTATAGTAAATTGGAAACCGTGTCAATAATAAAAAACGTGCAATGAACTTATGAACATGCGAAAATTGTCACGCCCAAAAATTATACAAATGTTTCTTTTGTTAAACATTTGTATAAATTTTGGGCGTGACAATTTTCGCATGTTCATAAGTTCATTGCACGTTTTTTATTATTGACACGGTTTCCAATTTACTATAGTTTCGATCTCGATAATACAAAAATGTTTATCTGGGGCCGAGTCTGGGGCCAGTTGTATCAAGCCCGTTTAGCTTAAACGGTGGTTAAGCTCAAAACAGAAGGCAACTAAGCAAGTCATCGATTTATTCAACAATGAAGCTAAACGTTTCAGTAGTAGTCTAGGACCTGTATATGAGTTTGTATGCATTTCATTTAGCACAGGTAATCTCAACTGTTTTAGGGTAAAATGACCATGGCGGTCAACATGGCATATGTGCCAAAAGCTGAATCCGGGACGAAAGTCCTGAAAATGACCCTGCCCTGAAACGGCAGTGTCAACATAGCTCTAACTTCAGAAAACAAAAAGCGATAGTCTTTCTGAAGTGCTTATAGTGTTTAGAAGGGTTGCTTTTAGGGGTGGTCATTGGAAGAAAAATTTGTCTAAGTATAATATTTTACAAGAAAATGACTATGCACCACCCCAGGTAAATTGCTGATTATGCATAAAATAACTAATATGCCTGGCAGAAATTAAATATTCTTATTTCCTAAAAAAATTATCATGGGGTTAAAAACTATGCTTAATTTAATGTAAATATTGTTGATTTCATAAGGATTGTCATTGTTTTCTTTAAATATAATAAATTTTATTTCACTTACCCCCCACGAAAACGCGATTTCAGCCATATTTTGCCGTCTTGTTTGCTTTTTATCGCCGAATCACGCAAATATCATCCAGTTATTGTACTTT